AGATAACGAAATGCCGACGAAACAGCGAGTACACTCTATAAAGGAATGAAGATTTGCATATATGCAAAGCGTGTACCTCTGAGTCTAGAATAGATGCGGTGTATAGTTTTGTTCACAGCGGCAGTATGTGGAAGTTGTGATGTTGCCCGTAGTCCGGAATGGTCATCGGCAAAGATTAATTTGAATAGAGTGTCTGCGGCAGTGCGATGATATACACAGATTTGCATCCGTAATGTGTATATGTTTTAATTTGCATATGCCAATACCCTGAAATCGTTCCTTTTTTGCAACTGGACTGTCAGTTCGAATAACCGGATTTTGTAAAATAGGATTTAATTGACTCTGAATATTGGACATGCAATATAGTTGTAATAATTGGTTCATAGAATCGCAACGTAGCATGTTAATGCACGAAATATATATCGAGAGAGAGAGACGGAGAAAAAGAGAGAGGGAAGGAGATACACAGAAATTCTCTTTGTTGCGCATGATTTCCCCAGCAGGCGGAAATGGATTCATGTTAATTGTTTTTCTAAATGTGTTTTTGTTTTTGAAATAAGTTTATCGGTTGTATCATGTAGTATGAAATGATTGATGAGTGAATTCTTTTCTAGTTTGGCACCGAATGTAGTAGTGCAGTAGAATTTTGGATTACCAGCTTACTACGGAGGACTCACTTCAGCATTGCCTCTTTCTTGATGAGTCATTTGTCCTCTGTGTTGAAAATATTAAACAGATGAAATATCTGTATAATTTTAAATGGAACTTGGGGAAAGCTTAAATTCGTGTGGAATAGTTTCTGCAACCTCTTACTCTGAGCAGGCATGAGTGATTGGTTTGATCTGGGAAAGTATCGTGTACATGCATGATAGTACGCACATGCCTCGTGTATAACTTCAAATGGAATCTGGGCAGTGTTCAAAATAGTCTGTAAAAGTTTCTGTGCCCTCTTTTCCGGTGAGGCAGTATTTATTGCTTGAAATGGTTAGCGTATCAATATGATCGTGACTTTCCAACTCAGCTCGAAGAGATATGGACTGCGGATGGACAAATTTCTAGCCTCCTGAATCTGTCAAGTGCTTCAAGAGTGATTTCGACAGATTTAATCGCGTTCATGAATCTGAGATTGCTAGACACCTAGAACAAGGAAATTTAATACAGTGTTATACCATAAAATCCACGAATCAATGCGTGGTATTTAAGTCAAAATGGTGATAAGTCTAAAGAGGACGTAATGAGAAATGTGTCCTGTGAAATCAACCAATGTGGAAAATATGAATACAGCCTTCACATTTTATGAGAGGGATTTCAAGCTTGATCTTGAGATGTAGTTTTAAAGACGGCGGGGGAATGCATGGACGAAATTACCTTATTAATCATGTGGTCTTGATTATTAAAAAGGTGAACCACTGGACCGCAGAAGGAAGATTGTTTCGTGGCGCTGTATTAAGAAACTGTATCGTTAGTCATCCTCTAAACGATCGCGTGTCGGCGTAGTGGCAGTTCCCTTGTTCACACAAATGCATGCCATCCTGTTTTTCGTTTCCTTCTCCTCTCACTTCCTCTCGTCGCTTTTGTTCCTTCACACTTTTGCTTGCTTTTCCTCCTTTGCTCATTCTTGTTCATGTCGTTCCGTTGTCTCTCTTCCTCTTGGAGCCTACTTGGTGACGGAACTCGCGGTCAGTGTACTTGAATCGCCTTGAAGCAAAGTCTTCAACAGGTATTAGTATTGAGATCTCCGTGAACCATGAAGGAAAAAAATTTCAGCTTCATGAGGTGTCACTAATTGTGAGGGTTGTATGTAATTACTTAAAACATTAATCACTTTCACTGTCACTTTTACCAGTGTCACGTATCTGCTACGATTCTGCAGTTGTCATGACCCTTTTGGGACTTCAGAAATTTTCTATACATCGGTATTCGAAATCATTTAGTTGTCACTGAACTCTCTGTCACGCATACGCTTCTGCCACCGCTTGCCACCATCTGTGCACTCTCTCACCGCTCGGAACCTTCGGTATCACACTCTTGGCGGACTCTCAGTGGATATATCAACCACATTTGTGGCATTTTGAATACACTTTTGCGACTTCGCTCCCGTAATGGGACGTCCATCTCCCGTCAAAACAATGGACCACGTAACCTTTATGTACCCGCAAGAAAGTTGAGCTGGGCCCCGCAGCACCTTTATCATCTTCGGGGTCTGTTAGAGACTTGCTGGTGACGCTTTATGCACTTTTCAGTATTGCATATATCGAATTTTTATTTTTATTTTATATATGTGATAGTGAGACACCAGGCTTACTTATATAAGGGACATATACGGGTAACAACTTCTGTCTTTGGAGTTATATCGTGGCATTTGTCTCCTCGGAGATGTGCCATTACCTGTCTTTAGAAAATAAATCTAATACCAGGCAACTCTGAAACATTGACCAGTACGACGATGCCAGCGCTGACTGGCGGCCTTATATTTTTTACGTGACGAGAGGTAAGAGGCAGCATTGCAATGAAAGCAAATCAGCGAACTTCTTGAGACTTTGAAACTTTAAGGACCACGATTTACTCAAGCATTTCGGGGTGCTCATCTGTTGAGAATTTTCTCCCCTCTGCGGTCGCAACCATCGCATGTACCGTTCGTCCATGGGGTCCGTCATGGTGGGATGGTCGTCAGTTTGCTACAAGATGTTTCATTGTTTTGCTTTCAACATTTTTAATTTTATAACGTCATCGATGAAGAACTTCGTGAACAGCTTAGTTCGCTATAGCCTTCAAAACAGAGCTAGACTTCTCAGGATGCAAACAGATTGCCGGTTTGTTGAATGCAAGTATCGGTTAGTGCTGATAAGTAAACCTGGCTCGATATCAAGGGCTCTTTGTTTTTTATCCAGGTCGCATCGCCCTAAACTTGAACTGTCCTCATGAACCTCTGCATTTTCTTCCGTTAGAAAAAAAATTACTCATATTGATGAAGTACGAATGACTCGTAAAAATGTTACCACTTTTTAGTCAACTTTATTTTTTCCGAACTTGAACAGGATCAACTTCACATAATGAACCGTTTTGCCAATACGCCTATAAAGCATGGGATGGAACAGTCAGGTATATATGCTACGGAAATTACAAGGGAGACCGTGGTTTAATATTGTATCAGGTTCTCACAGTGTTTTACAATTACTGTGCTGCTTGATGAAACTGTATCCAGCGGTTTCATAGATTACTGCATATGCCTTGCATCCAGTTCTGTCAACCTCAGCTTATAACAGTGCTGCTGTTTATGACTCAATTTTTATTTTGTGCATTTCTTTGTTTCAATTTCTCCACTAATATCTCACTTGTTATAATGCAAATTTTATTGACTGTTGTCGAATGAACCAAAACCTCTGTTTTTCCGCGCTTTGTATTAAGGCAATGCTACTGCCACGATCAAATGTTTGATTCATGTTGGAAAACTTCGTATTCAAAACACCTTCATTTGTCGTACGCCCCAATGGACTGACGAATTCGTGATATGTTTGCTTACTACCACACTGTTCACAATAAGGACAGGTCCTTTTTACCACTTCAGAATTTTTGTTTATTCTCGAGGACCAATTTACCATAGCCAGCGAGTTGCAAAACACCACCGATGTAAGGTACCGCCAATGGGAACACCCGGTCATCTCGGTATCAGTCGCTTGATCTTTTGTTCATGCCAGGGCTGGTGCCTCCGGTTGCTCTATGAACGGGCCAGACTTCATCGATGTTGTCGGATGCATGAGACTGTTTCTGCCTAACTGAAGTCGGTCGTCGATAATTTTTGCTATGGCTGTTATTAATGTTATTTTAATTATGATTAGACGACAACATATCAACTCAGGATATTCAAGAAAGGATGGGAAAGTTTGTAATAGTTCGAATGTCCGTCTTTCATACACTTTTATAATGGGGCGATTCTTGCGGCTTTCTTTTCACGAACTTAATGATGGGTGCTAATTCCGAACCTCTGCGACTGGAAGCCATTCTATTCAGGTGCTGACATCACTGCGCGGGCTTAGGCCGCTGTAAGTTCTGGCTGACAGAACCACTGAATGGAAGCCTGTCAGGGAAGGAATGGCAATCCCTTGACTGAAGATAAAACAGGCTTTACCGTTGCTACACGTTTCTAAGCAAAATTTGAAGGGAGAATATGAGTGCTTCCAAGAGGAAGTGCTGACTACGCAGTTTTTTATTTTGATGCACATGTCGGGGCAAACGCTGAAAAGTAGAAAAGCGCGAAATTCGAATTCGAATGCGAATTCGAAAAACAGCTCTAATGACCTCAACATTAACTGCATGAAGTTGATGGGTTTTGTGCAAACAACGGACTGCCTGTTATGAACATCTTCGAGCATCGAAGAGTGCATCAATGTACCTGTTACAAAAAACTTTGTGCACAGAAGTCAATTTTCGATTTGACAGTCATTATGCATGACTTTCTGTAATGATCCTCTTCAATGGATGTTCGCGCTGAGAAAGGTGCAGACCTCTCAGCTGATTACCACCTTTCTGGCATGCTACGCTGTAAGAAATGGAGTACCATACGAAGATCTGGTGGAATAAGCATCCGGAGAATCAAATCAGAAACATTATCATCGGTGGACACCAGAGAGAAGTTTCCAAACAACATCGCACGACGGTTTCAACAGATTCCAGTGATGACAACTGATGTTGAAACCGAGTGGCAGCTGTTGAAGAGAAGCCTACTCGAGGCTGCCGCCGAATGCTGCGGATATAAATGGGTTGGCCTGCTGCTGGAGGTCAGTAAAGATCTTCATGGTGGACACGAGAGGTACAACTGACAGTTAAAGAGAAGAAGGCTCAATTCAAGAAACCGTAGAGCATTGGAAACAAAGAGCAGCAGAAACAAAGATTCTATTCGCATGCGATATGTCGAGGCAGGCAAAGCGGCAGTCAGAGCAGTGGCGAAAGCCAAAGCTGATTACTCGGAGAAGTTTGATCAGGTGTTGGAGTCGAATTTCCAGGAAAAAGAATTTTTCGACAGACTATTCGTCGGCTCCCAGATTAAAAGAAGAGCAATCTAAGATTCCTGAAGGACAGGTCTGAACATCCTCCTAAGTACGATAAGGACATTCTCTGGCGATGGAAAGAGTACTTTAAGGAATTCCTTAACCCCAAGAAACAGCAGGAAGACTCGCCTGGAGATCAGCGGCAAACGGGTGATAGTATTTCTGTAGATGAAATCACATGAACCGTGGTATGCTTGAACAGTGGAAAGGCTGCAGGAATTGATGAAATCCGCTTTGAAATGCTTAATTTTAGCGAACAAGTCATGTGCTGATTTACACCTGTCTGTGAAACTGCAATGGCTAAGGGAAGACACCAGCGGACTGGAGAACGGGCAATGTTGTACCTCTATTCAAGAAGGAACCATAGGAAGTGCTCCCATTAACGGAATTGGGTCTCCTGGGAAAAGTCTGCCCAAAGGTGCTTAAAATGAGGTGTCGCAAAATAACTACCTCCAAGATGCAGGAAGAGCAGTGTGGCTTCCAACCCGGTCGAAGCACCTCTGACCGATTGTTTGCCCTATGCCAGATTGCTAAAATATCGTGAGAGTTCATTCATCCGGTTTACATTTGCTTTGTGAACTAGAGAAAACCCGTGACCTGATCCCGCGCAACAACCTGTGGGCATGCTTGCGAACATAGATAAATAGTGAGTTGATATGGCCACCTTATCACTGTATGCTGATAGCAGGTACTGCTGGAGAGTAAACAGCATTAAATCGAGATCTTTCAGCATTGGAACTGGCCTCTGCTAAGGGGCATTCGTCTCTTCTCCTGTATTTGTCTTACCTTAGTAAAATAGCGAGGCTCAGTCAGGGCGATAAGTATGTCAACATGGGACATGTTGAAGCGAGAAGGTTGCGATTTACAGACGACCTTGTTTTTTTTTTTAGAATCTTGTGAAATTTATCTCCAGTCCTATCAGGAAAAGTTCGTAGCCTGCCACGACTAGAAAAGCATGCATGTGATCGCATCTAAAACGAAAATTGTAGAGGTTTGCCGTTCTCCGGCCCGTTGATCTCTTCAGATAAACGGTGAGGCAGTGAAGCATGTGGTAAAGATCATGTACCTCGGAGTGCCACATAGTAGTGGCAGAACATAGGAAGAAGAGATGGACTGGCGAATCGGAATGATCAGTGGCGTTCTGCATGCACTAGCCTGAACCGCTGTTGCTAAAATGGAGGTGAGACTGATTACTAAGCTCTCGGTATTCAAGTCGAACTTCATTCCCACGTTTACCTCGGTCATGAATACAGTCATGAATGATGACTGGAAAACTTCACTTTCTGGTTCATGTGGTTCAGATGAGCTTTTAGGATGTGCCTCTGGATTTATCCGTCTCGAAATGAAGCAGAGTACTGAAATCCGCGAGAGCTGTATTTCACAGCCGCTGCTTCTTCAGACTGAGAAGTCACAGCTGCAATGGATCGGACATGTTTTGCGAATGCCTCCAAAAAAGAAGACGAAGGAACTACTGCTTGCTCAGCCGATCGGCAAAAGGCCCAAGAGACGGCAAGATTAATCTGGAGTAAAACATATGGAAGGAATCTGCTTAGACCGCGGTTGGCTTCTACTGCAGTTCACATTCTGGCACAGGATCGGCATGCGTCTGGCGCGTTTGCCTCCGCTGTACGAAAGGAGAAGCCGTAAAAGGTTAATGAAGACGCATTTCTAAAATTTATGGTTAAAATAAATAAACAGGCACTGACAGTGCGAGATCCTGTTCAGCCAGGAGTAGGGTCTGCAACGACACTGCATGTCCTGTGGTTGACAGGAAATGCTAAGACTGATATATTTTCCGTCTTCCTTCACACGTTAAGCTATTGCTAGCCTTATTAGAACCAGGTTTGTGGCTTGAACGTAAATGCGTGACAGCTGCAGTTCTGTTAGATTGTACAAGAGCTGATTTATTAACACTGAAAGCGGTGTAAAAAATAAACAGATAACACAAGGCTTGGTGCCGGAACGCTACTAATGCAACAGCAGTCGCCAAGCTCAGTTAAAGTATTACGTATCCTCCAGTCTGTTCATCAAAAAGCTGAATCACTTGCCCTATAAACAGAAAATTTTACATCGAACTTTTAATATATATCTTGAAAATCATTAGTACAGCACTACCTTTGTTGATAACGACATATACTGCTACAGTAATATACCCATCCTAAGAAAATTAGAGCCTCTTAATCTAATGTACTGTAGACGTAGATCTTAACAGTGGTGGAGAGAGATGTCCCTCCCTGGAAGAGCTGTATAAAGAAATAACTACTATTCTTAGTGGTATTTAGTAGCGCACGCGAATAAGCAATCCGGTGTATTGGAAATATGGCGGAGGATATGAAAAAAGGTATATTACTGGAGCATTTCTTAGATGCGTATTGTGATGCCTGAATTTTATGTTCCTTGGTTCCTTGATCTCTGGGCTATCGTATTACTGTAATCGCTTGTTGCGGTGATTTATTTTGCTTATGAACACTTCGATTTTATATTTATAAGCTTTGGGTAAGGCCTCTGCAGAAAATGGTCAGCAGTTATTTCTGCACGATTTGGTTGGTGGTAAAGTTATAGTCTGCCGCCGAAACTAAGACTGAACTTCCAGCAAGGTAGATAATTGGCGCATTTTTTTTGCCCGTTGTATAATATCTTGTCAAAAGTAGAAACTTTTTTGTTTTGATTGGTGCTTTCTGTTGTACTATTGAGCAGGTTTTCGGATTTGCGAAGCATGTTCAGTCATTCCACTCATTCATGTTCTGATGTAACCCAGGCGTCCGGTAAAGCTTGGCTCTTAATTAATTAATAGGTTGTTTTGGTAGTCATAATGTATCATTTTGCATGAGATCTTTGAAAAAACTAAATTGTAAATTGTTTTTGTAAATTATTCAGAATTTCAGCCGTCTTTTTATTGATGAACAGTTTCATTTTAAGCTGTCGCCATTTTTTTTTCAGCTGTTTCTTGGTCTGTTTCTGGTTTTCTTGCGAGGATGATAGCGTTTTGTTTGGCAAATATGAAAGTTGCTTGATGAATGGACAGTATGATTCTTGATACGTTTCACGACGTCAGTTTCTAAATCTGAAGTCTTGTGACTTTGAATCTTCTTGTTGATAAATCATTTTTTTTATGACCGTTTCTTTTTCTGGGTGAATATGGAAATTTTTCGTAACTTTATGTCGCATGCTCAGATATTTTCCTTACGAACCTTGTAAAACTGCAGGCAGATTGAAGCACCTGTATTATGCGAATGTCATGTGTACTTGTAAAGGCGTTGCATGAAAGCTTGTTTTCCGCTTGAGGCCTGTAGGTTCCGAAGGTTATGGATAAATAAAATCAACGTGGTTCTCAGTTGTTGTTTTCGTAATGATTGTTGGGTTCAATATTAATCTTTGGCAGGCGACACATTCCATCATCCATTCATAAGAATTGCGTCATGAATGATCATTGAGAATGGATTTTACTCCAATTTTGCTGGATCATGACCATCGACAGAGCAGAAACGTGCCTTTCTGTTTTAATATTCTGGTATATTTGCTGATACTAGATCGTTTCATGTTAAGCCAAACATTTGGATATTCATCCGCATTAACTTTCTATCCACATTCCATCTCCTCTTCGTTATTGTTATTTCTTTTCATTATTACATATCGTGTTTATTGTTGTTTCCTCTGAAATTGCTATAACAGTTGGTAAGTGATTGCTGGCATGCTAGCCCGTGCTAATTTTAGGTATTTTTCTACTAATTTAGGCAGTAAGCTCTTTTGATTTGATTGATACAAGGTTCTCATGAGTATAATCCATCAAGCTTCGTCCAGATTTTCATTTCTTCTAGTTGGCGGTTTTGACAGTTAACAAACGAAATAAAGAAAATATTTCGTAATGGTTTTCTCGTGAATTAGCATTCACAGTTGCTTCATATCCTTCCTTCCACATCTGCTCTCTGAATGCCCTTCTAGAAAGAGCTTCCTAAAAAGCATAAGTTTATTTCTGACAAGCTTAGTTACCAGAACCGTTACCAAGACCGGCCTTCACGGTTATCATAGCGAGTCAGGACACATCATCTTCCGAGTAAACCAGACATATTGACTTCAATTTGATTCTGCAAAGAAAGTGTTTTGTCACCTGACTCACTGGCTAAAGAGTTTGTTCATTTTCTGGTGCCATTTTTGAGTTGTTAATTCAGTAATTGTTTCAAAGTTGTCCTTTCCACCTTCATCTTTTAACAATACTTCGTTTGATAGTTGTCTGAAGCAACGACTGCGGTATTTTCCCGATATACACTTTGATGGAAACACCAAAATTTTGTTATAGAGTGTAACTATAATGTAGATCAGTGTAATTTTCTTACTTTCACTCATATCCTAATCTTAATATTCAAAAATCAGTACCACTTAGTTAATTGAAAAACAAAAACAGAAAACTTGTAGACGGTAAGGTACGTTTCCGGTTTGCTCCCATGATATGCCCTATTTTGACGTAGAGCTGATCTTTATTTTCATGCTATCAGCCAAGAATGTGTTGTTTATAAATTCGGTATCGAGTCTAATTGTAGTAGAGAATATCATCTTATACCATCGGATGCCGCTAACGTACCACGCTACTAATGTACCCTTTCTTTGTATATGTGTTATTTTCTTTGTTTTGTTTCTGCTTGGCGGAAAAGATGTATATTTTTTTTTTGTTTGGAAACATGTCATCGTGATCCAGATAAATTGTAGCTACTTAAATGCGGGTTTAGATGTAGTTTTTCATTTGATTTTTTAAATATAGTCGTGCTTACGTTCTTCAGCGATTTATAATAAATATATGCTCTTTAATCCTCCTAATGTAAAATTTTGTCTGACAACAGATAAAAGCATCCTCTGATGTTAAATTAGAAATTTCAGATTCGCTGCCGTATTGTTGACAGTATTGATCAGGAGAGGGAGAGAGGGAGGGTGGCGAGTACCGAAGAACATGGCATAAGCTACTA